ATCCAGAAAGTGCATCCAATTTCCCATTACCCATGAGCTGATCAGTCATGATTGGTTTCTCTGAGGAATATTAGATACCATGTTGTGTAATGGATGTTCCAGTAAAGCTCCCAGCACAATGGTCACATAACAACGTATTAGACTCAATGTGCCATGCTCACCTCCAGACCTGGCTTAACTTTCATCACTTTAGACTTTTCCATACAAAAGTCCGTCAGGCTCAGCTGTACTTCTTATCATCTTAAACTTTGCTTTGTCTCTTTGGTTCCTGTCTAATAAGAGCCAGGCTCCTCACTTGGCATACATTTCAGTATTTACACAAAAACTTAAAATTCTGTGCCTTACCTCCAGCTAGGGATGGAAATGGAGAACCAGTACTATACCAGTAATGGCTCCAGACTGGTCAGAAGAGAAATATCAATAAGCTCCTGGACAAATGGCGCTGCTGTTGGTATTTATGTAACGTTACATAAACAGCGGACAGGGCAAAACATTCAAAAGTGTGGGCTCACTTAACTAAATCAAATAACAATGCAGCTAAATGCAATGACTAAATAAACTATTTATATATCTTATTTCTGCAAAAAAGGTAGGGGTGCAGCGATACCAGTGTTGGGTATCAGGTGGAAACCACTTTACAGCAGTGTGACGTTAACCTCTTGTTAGGTGAGCAGGTAGGTGGAGGAGAAGCACTGTCAGCAACTTTTACAACATTTAATTTGCTACAATCAGAAAGGGAGGAACATCTGACGAAAATAAAAACTGTTTTCAAAGTCACTGTTACGACTGTAATGGTATTATTAAGTACTCATATGGGTACTTGGTTTTGGCAAGTACCCCAAGCTAAAAAGGTAATAATAAAACAGCTGTATAAAACAATTTTCACATCTTTTTATGTCATGTCTTTATTCTTTGGCATCGATGCAAGTCAAATTATGGTGAGTAGTATCAGTAAAAGTTTCGATATGTATAGGTATCAATAAGCAGTATCTGTATCGATATCGGTATCTGACAAGCGCCATCCCTTCCTCCAGCCGAAGTTCATGTGTAGCTACACCATGAGAAACACAGAAGAAGAACGTCTTAAGGTGTCTTCACAATGAAGAGAATTCTCACTGCCTGCACAAATGTGACTGCTGAGAATGTTTTTGTAGTCCCAGCCGGGGTGTGTGGAGTTGTTGACAGCTCAGCCTCAGCTTCTGAGCAGATCTTAAATCTTATGAAGAACTCCACTTCTTTCTCTTGTTTCTCTCCAGACAGCTCTGCTTTTTGCGCTGCACAATTAATCCAAATATTATTGAAATTGAAATATAATAATAGAATATAAATAATATATTTTAGCCTTTACAATTCTTGTTATCTTGTTATGTTGGTGAGAAAGGAAATGAAGCCTTTTCCTACTTCTAGACGCACTGTAAGTCCCTCTGCTAATGGGAACCTACTGGGTGCATTTATGTTCATTCATTATTCCAGAGTGCTTTTCCATCCATTTATTACTGCATCAGTCCCTGGCTAGGTATATCTTTTTACCTTTCTATCTTTCTTTTTAATATTTTTATTCTCGGCTGTCTGTCTGTCTGTGAAGCCTGTCCATCACTGATCTGCCACCAAGATATTCCCATGATATGTATGCTGCTTAAGAAGGACTACCAAAACATATCTGGTATTTGAATACCAAAGAGCATTAATCAAGTGTTTTCTTCATTTATCTTTTGAAAAAGAAAATCACCCCCAATACTCTATTAACATTCATTACTCATTCACCACTGTGTTGCTGACCTCCTGTGAACTACACATTGACATTTCACTGAAGTAAAATGGCCACCAGCAAGAATGGGTCTGCTGTCTACCAGTAACCAGTATTCAGAGTCAAGACAAACTTATAGACCAGTTTTTGAAAATGTCTTCTCCAAGGCCACAAGAACAGTATAAAGTTTCAGTCCATAACATCCTGAACAGCTCTGGAGTTTCTTGCATTGCCATTAGGGTGGGGCGATTGGACAATATACAGGCTAAACTATGAGTTTTATTGCGTTTCTGTGGAGTTTGAAGTGTGTTTTAAGACGAGCTAACAAAGCAATTAAGCTGGTCTTGGTTTGGTAAAAGAGAGAAACCCGAACACAGAAGGTGTATTTTTCTGTTAAAGGAGGACATTTTGTGAGTTTCTTTTGTTTATTAAAGCTAAGAGAGCTTGTTGCACAGAGCGAGCTCAAAGCACACACGGATGTGAATATATCGACAATTGCCGGTTGTTGGACTGGGCGGTTGAAAAATTTCGCCCACCCCCAATTTCCACTGTGCTTTTTGTAAGACTGGAGTCTGTAGGACATCTCACATCACAACACCGACAAACTCACTGTTCGACTGTGTTTGGGGGATGAGGATATTGGACCTTTCAAAGAGATCTGCCTAAGACATCTTTTTTCTAAAATGTGATGACGACCGCACAGAATGACACAGGCATTCACTGTTTATTTCAGTGCAGCCTTTAACCTGATAATTACAGAACTACAATGGCCAAAATCCCAAACCATATCTGCTGTGGTCTCCTGTTGTGATAGCTGGAGAACTGCCAAGGCTACATAAAGTACAGGAACCAGCTGCAGCAGCTAATAACATCAATTTGCTGAGTTATAATTCATGTTAATGTTATCATCATTAGATCATCATAGATTTTGTAAGGATTTATCAACAAAGTTAGGTTGGAAATAAAGCAAATTGGTGCTCTGGTGCTCAAAGACACACACAGTACCATCAGACTGGGATATCCCCAGGTGGGACATGTTGCAGCCACCTCCTATCAAACTATCAAAGTAATATTACAATGCATTCATTATGGAGACACTTTTGTTTCAGTACTCAAATGTGAGGATTTGCTGCGTTTCTCTCAGTTATATTATTGTTCCTTTGTGATTACTCATCAGTTTTAAAGTGATAGAAATAACAAGCAATTTGAAGATGATGGGCATTTTTTTTTAGATGTTTCAGACTTAAATCGATAAAGACTGGTCCTATCTTTGGCCAAAGTGACCTACAATTTCTCCCCTGTTAATGCACACTTGTGGGTGGGAGTAGTTGTGGATTTGAACCAGCAACCCTTCCTTTAGCTGTCAGCACGTTGTACAATCTGCTACTACCTCCCACAAAATATTACATATAATAAATAAAGATTGGAGATGGGTGCACGGTTAGCTCAGTGTGTAGAGCTGGCGTCCCATGTACCGAGTCCTTGCTGCAGCGGCCCAGGGTTCGAATCCAACCTTCGGCCCTTTGCTGCGTGTCATCCCCCTCTCTCTCCCCCCCCTTTCCTGTCTATCTTCAGCTGTCCCTATCAAATAAAGGCAATAAAAAAGCCAAAAAACATAACTTAAAAAAATCAGATGATAAGATATGTGTTCTCATCATTTTTAATGTCCAACCACTTCATAGAAATTATGCCTAGCAGGTATGCGAAAAGTCTTGACTATATCAACTTAACTTTGCATAGTCATATTGGCAAAACCACATAGAAAAGCTTTTTTTTTTTATTCCAGCCCCAAAAAAGAAATCCCTATCAGCCGCCATATTGTAATCTGTGAATTTCTCCCCTCTAAGGTTGCTATCAGCCTCAGCCATCACCTACTGAGCGGCCTCAAATCAAAACTCAAGAGGATCTTTTGATTGAATACAGCATGACAGATGAGTGACAGGGGCAGAGACAGACTGTAACAGGGCGACAGGTACAGGCAGAGCTAGACAGGCAGAAAGTGTCTAACAACCGCAAATAACCACACAAACAGAGTGCCAGAAAAACGACTGACCTCTTCAACCCTGCAGGAGCCGCCAGCAGGTCCATCAACACCGAGCAGCGTCCCAAAAGAACTCTCCAAAGATACCAAACATGTCAGGCTGAATTACTGTAGAAGATGAAGCCCAAGACTCCGGAATATGTTCATTTTATGTAACGGCGCATTGGCGTGTGTGTTGGGTTTATTCATCATGTTGCTGTGCTGCAACAAGAACACTCACTCAAACTTCTACTCTGCAGGGAATGTAAAGGGATATGAAGACGTTCCCACTCCCACAGTACTCCTAGCCCGTTACCAATGCAGTGCACGTTATTATCCTCAAACACTGCATGTTCAATTCCACATGTGAATTAGACTGAAAAGGCCAAGAGCCAGAGAGAGAAAGACACAAGCATGGATGTAGAACAATGTGTACTAATCCACACTGAGACAGAGGATGCAGTGTGTGTGTGTGTGTGTGTGTGTGTGTGTGTGTGTGTGTGTGTAGCTGTGTGTGTGTGTGTGTGTAGAGTGGGGGGTGGTGGGGTATTATTGTATAACGTCAGGCTTAGTCCCTATAGAACATCACAGACTCTTCCTAAAACTGGTGTATAGGCAGCAACATCATAAAGACACCCTTTATGTAACAAGGCCCTGGCTGCTCTGGGGCTGCACCTGACTGCCTTTGAGAAGCTCCTGTAGTAAATATCACAGTCTATAGGTTACTGTAGTCCCATATGGGAATATTAAGGTTGAAACAGCATTAGAGGCAATGAGGCCAGCATACACTCATTAATGGCTCGAGAGGAGCAGTATGAGCTCATTGTAGGAGTATTTTTGGAGTACTATAGCCTGGTGGTTTTCTCAGCAGGAGGGGTGTACCATCCCGACTGCGGCACCACCATAACAAAGAGACACGAATCCACGGACCTCCGCATGAGAGACAGAGGTCCCTCCTCACCTCACACGCCCACTCTCCTCTCCCATTGTGATGGGAAACACCGAGCACAACAATGTACAACTGCCGGGCCGCCATATAAGAAGCTAAATATAGGCCCGCATCCATGCCACCGCAGCGCGAGACCTAAATAACGCCATAAATATGACATGAATTTCATCATTCATTTAGCGCGCGAGAGGATGGCGCAGCGCGAGGACGCGGCAAACAGCGATAGTCGCGCGCTGACACCTCGTAAGTCGGATGTAAATAGTGAAATATGCGACTGTACTCACCGCTTCGACGTGTGTCCCGTTTCTTTCGCGGAGTGTGTGTGTGTGTGTGTGTGTGTGTGTGTGTACTCGCGTGTGTGTGACTGTCAGAGTCTGTGATGGTGAAAATCTCTCCACCTTTCACTGCTTGCGGAGCAGACTGGTGCCAGGACTCAGACGCAAGCCCCGCCCCCTCCTCAGACGGCTCAGCCAATCGGGAGCAGCGAGCAAAAAAAGAGCGTTTTTCCCCCGGAATCTGCAGCTGCTGCATTCACGTGCTGCCGTAAATATGAGACACTAACTTTATGGAGTTGTAAAACACATTACAGTAAATCCAAGAAATAACATGTTAAAGGTCCATTGTGTAACATTTATTGGGCTGTATTGAAAGAAATGGAATGTAATATTCATAGGTATGTTTTTATTAGTGTATAATCAGCTGAAAATAAGAACTGTGTTTTTGTTACCTCAGAATCAGCTGTTTGTATCTACAGAGGGAATGGGTGCTCTTCAACAGAGTCATGTTGACCGTGAATGTCCAGAATGGACAAACCACACACTTGCTCTAGATCTAGATATCATTTTTCATAAGTTCCAAGGCCACCATACTTTCTCCTACACGCTTGGAAATCTGAGCTGTATTCAAATGGTTGCAATTTGCAACTTCACTACAAGATGCCACTGAATCCTTCACACTGGTCCTTTAAAATGAGAACATGTATATCCATGGAGCCAAGATTGAAAGGTTAAAAGACTGACCAAATCATATAACATACAAATATAAAACTACATTTTTTAACACCCACATCACCTCCACACAAACTTACACAAAAATTAATATCCCTTTCAAAATGATATTATATTAATTGAACATTCATTGATAGCTCACCATCTGCACCATAAATCATGACCTGGCTTAAAGTCCTGCCTGTTTCAAGCAACTTGATGTTTAATGGGAGACAGTTACCAGTAAAGTACTACATTATTCACTGGCACTTCACATAATGCACTCTGGCCCTGTGTTTCAGCCAGGCTGAGTATGGACCATAGTTATCTGTGAGCATAAGTATTCAGATTCCTCAGTGGACTAATATTGATAGGATTGGATTAAACTTTGTTGTCATTGCACACAGTAAGAATCAGTACAATGAAATTCAGTTTGCATGCAAGCTGCAAATACAGTAGTTATAAAGATGAATGAATAATGAATAATTAACTAACAGAGTAGTAAGGTGTGAAGGGATACTGTTCAAAGTGAAGAATGAATCAAGATGCAAAATGGACAGAGTGAGTGATATATTGTAACTATATGTACAGTATGGACCAGTGGCGTGTATAGTAGACTTAGTCTAGTTATGTTATGTACAATAAAAAAGATGTAAATCTGTAAAAGTGCAAAAAGCTAGATGAAGAGAAAGGTTGTAATGTTGTCCTGTAAGTGTCAGGATCTGTTGCCAGGACAGTGTAATATGTTGGCAGTGTGTGTATAAGAAATGATTTTGTTGTAATGTTAACATGGCATGCATCAATACATCATTCACACTGTGACTTCTACCACAAATAACACATTTGAGTAGTTCACAAACAGGAAGCTAAAATGCTACCCCAAGCACATGTCACTCGTTTTGTTTGAAATAACATCTGGAATGTTTTTATTTCTTTCCAGCTGCGTAGCGCAGTCTGTTGTGTACCGCATTACGGACCAATCAACACCACACTCAAAAATCAAAAGTATCTTATGCATACTGAAATTCCTCTTTCTCTTTTTTTTCAGTCTAATTGTAGTATATAATCAAAACCATGACAGGAATAAGTATCTTGCAGCTGGGATGCAGGGTTTAGAGACATCACAGACTGTCATTAAGGAAGATGCTGAAAAAGTTGCTGAAATCCTTCTGTACTTGCAAGAGTCTAAACATTTGGGGTGCATCTCCATCCCTAAGGCCAATGCGATATGAACCTCAATGCATTGCTAACAATCTGATACACTGAATATACATATAAAGCAACTACCAAAGAGATAAAAGTTATCTCTTTTCTGATGCAGTGCGATTGGACACAATTTGATTAAACAAAATACGACGCAAAGAAGATGGTGCTAGGCAATTCAATATGGTACTGACAGTTTGATTTTATTTCTTTGGTTCTTCTTTATCTGCAGTTTCAGAAACAATTTAGTGAAGAGGAATCAGTCTTGATATAAAATTACTGGTCACATTTCTAAATGATAAAAGCATAAGGCCTCTAGTAATAGTTATATATATAAATAAATTAGTTTGTGAATGCAAAGATATTAGGTTCATCCCAAATTGTGTACGACAATTTTTTTCAACTTAAATTCCGGTGCATCAATAAGTTGACTGTGATATACGGGAACAAGTCTCTGACCAAATTGGGTCTACAAGCAATGGCTCCATCTATTATCATATAATGAATGCATATGGGGGGGGAAAGGTTGATTTCATTGTTAAAATCCTGCGTCCTTACAGTAGGAGTCGTCGTTTTAAACTGTCTCTTTCAGTGGTCAGTTCGTTGCTTCATAGTGATGCAACTGATGAAGCTAGCTAGCCAGATGACTGACTGACTGTTGGAGAGGCAGAGGTTTCTATAGGATTATCTGGGATTATGGCTCCCATTTGATTTGGTGAGTTTGTTTGTAATCTCTCAAGTATCCCATAGTGTCCACAGTACACAAGCACAAAAACAGTGCCAACAAAATCACACATCAAAAATATCTATTTGTTCACATTTACAAAACATTGACCTCCTTCACGCAACAGCTCACTGTATTTTCCATCATAAAAATGAATCCATACAGTAATAACTAACTCTAATCTTATTTGATCAGTGGTCACCTTAACAACAGTTCTGATCCTCTTAACCAGGATTTGACAGCACCTATTGATGCCCCTGGTCTTTATGAATCTATCCATCACAGTGGAACCACCCTCCATCTGACATCTCAACATTACCTCTGCCTTATCTCAGTATAATGGTGGATTAGTGGAGGGCAAGGAGGCAACAGGCAGAATAATGCAACAACTATAAAAGAAATGGTAGAAGTCAAAACATTTGCTTTGTGTCCATGTGGCTGTCCATGCAAAGTTGCTCAGCACACTGTTAATATAGTCAGTCGGTCTTTCAATGAGCAACTTTCACATGAAACAAAATGTTTGCAAAAGGATGCAAATACGACCTTTATTTAATTGAGAGCCCTTCTGCAAATGAGACCTGAGTACAACAGAGAGAAACAAAGGAAACAAGCAGCCAGACATAATGAATAATTCAAAACACTAAGGGTCACAGCAACATATAAAAAAAGCTACATTTTGTGGTAAAATAAATGAATTTAAGCTGAATTGCCACCATAAACAATAGATAATTACACAAATAGGTATTTTGAAAGAATGGTGTGATTTTATTGACCCATTAGCTTGTTTGCTAACTGTTAGTAAGCAAACAGCTACAACCCAGCTGAACCACTGACAGTATATAATATTGGACAGAGCTTCCAGGTCTGAAAAGTGAAGCCAATGCAGCAGTGCTTTAAACCTGCATTCCTTATAATGGCCAGCAGGGGGCGACTCAGTTGGTTTCAAACATTAGTCTGATTGTATGGACTGTAATGGCAAAATAAGCCTACTTCTCACTTGATTTATGAGCTCAGTAAACTGCTTCCTAATGAGTTTATGGTCTCAATCTCTAGTTTCAGTCTTCTTCCATACAGCATGGTGTTCATTTAGCAAATTATGGTCCCATTTAGAGTAAAATTGACAATAAACAGGGTATGCTTAAGGGCGTGGCTACCTTGTGATTGACAAGTCATTCTCAGTGAGTCCGTCCAGCTCAACACTCCAAACTCACATTGTATGTTATATATGTTATATGTTATATGTTATTGCTTTGCCTGTTTCTCACCTAAAATCATTTCAGAAACATGTATGGTCATGAAATTGACTAAATAAAACCCGATAACATTATTTACACACAATTTATCTCAACTCAGCATTTATAGAGAGAAGCTAGCTGTGGTTAGGGGGTTCACAGACAGCCTGTTGACCAGTGTTTTCAATGAGCGAGCTGCTTTGCTTCTGTCCGAAGTAGCTGGCATGTTTCCAGAGTGTGAAAGGCGACACCCTGCACTCTTTATTTGGAAGGACCTGGCTCCATGGGGAATACATGAAACAAGCTAGTAGCTAACTTTGTCGTTGTCTTTTGGTGCTGAGCAGGTAGTAAGTTTACAGTGGGTTTATTAGAACTTCTTTAGCTCAAAAAAAAAAAAACCACTCTGCGTCCGCTGGGAACAAGGTTGGTGTGAGTGGAGAGAACCAAAACAGTAAAGTTGTGAGCTGAAAAAGGCTAAAATGCTCTCTAGAACTGAGGTGATTGAGCTGCAGAGTTGAACTGATAATTCTCGAGCCCTTTATATAAGTAATTGTTAATGTAAAAATATTGATTGGTGCAGCTTTAATAATGCAGTTCCCTTCTCTATTTAAATAGAGCTTTGATCATCTAATTTTCAGTTCTAGTGTAATATTGAAGAATATTTTGTGATGACCTTATTTAAATTTTACTCAAGATGTGAGACTCAGGTTTCCTTTTGTGTCGGATTCCTTTTTCCAGACGTCTGCAGCAGCAGCTCTTCATGACTCAAACTAGAGGGCGTGGCTGTGAGTCCATCATCTTCATCAGGTTCATGCAGAGGAGGAGTCCGAGGTGGTTTCTCTTCATTCACAGAGTGCGTCACTGCGTGTCCTCTCCTCCATTTATCCTTCATTCTGTTTCCTCCTTCTTTCTCAACAGGTCCGACAGAGTGTTATGCAATATCCTGTCTGCCTGCATCATTTCTCTCTCTCTCTCTCTCTCTCTCTCTCTCTCTCTCTCTCTCTCTCAGTCTGTTATACCATCCACCCTCTCTCCTCTTTCTCGCTCTTCTTGTGCTGTATCATTCCTTCTCCTCACTATTTGCTGTTCCTCTTATCGTCTCTTTTCAGAGATCCTCCCGCTGTCTTTTTATTACTATTTCACACTGTGCAACTCAGGGAGACAGAGTCAAGACTGAGACAAAAAAACCTAACTAACCATAGTTACCAGACGACCAATGTCAATGCCTGTTCTAGACAGATTTTGAATTAAACTAATAGTCATTTTCTGATCAAGTGCGCTTCATCAATGTTTTGAAGGAGGAAGTTACTTCAGACAA